TGTGGGGCCGCAGGTGCGGTCTCGCTGAACCGGTTTGAGGAGCGCGGAAGCGGAAAACTTGGCCCTTGCCAGGTTCCGCAGAGGCGGGATTAGGATCGCTTAAGCGGTCCCGCAGATGCGATTGGGGACCGCAGAAGCGAAAAGTGGCCTTAAGTGAAAAGTCCGCAAAAGCGGACGTTGACCGCGTAAGCGGAAGTCGCAAAAGAGGTATTTGGTCCGCAGAAGTGGAAATAACTGGCAGTTAAGTGAGATTTATCTTCTTCGCGAATTTTTGAAAGGGTAACATTTTGGACTCCGAACCTTGAGAACTTTGAGGCGATTTTGAAGAGGGTTTCGAGGGCTTTAATCAGGTATGGATTCTTGGACTTAGAGTTTGATTTTATGGTGTATAAACATGGATTTAGACTGAATAACCAAGGAATCAAAGGTCAAAAATGGTGGTTTAGGGCTTGAACTTAAGAGAGTCTAAAATGGGGATTTGAGGGGTCAAATGGACTCTGATTTTTATAAATTCGATATGCATGGACTCGTGGCGAGACGAGGAATCCGGTGATGTAAATTTTGTAATTTTTTGAGAAGTGGGCCCGGGGCTCGGGTTTTGCCAACTTCGTGATTTTTGGTGTTTTTCGAGTCCTTTCGATTGGGTTATGTTTCTTTGGCCTATAGTAATGTATTCCTTGTGGTTTTGATCAGATTCGGCACGCGAGGAGGTTGATTCGAGAGGAAAAGGCACAGCGAGCTAGACTTGTGGCCGGCTTGAGGTGAGTAATAGATGTAGATGATGACCTGAGGGTTTGAAACCCCGGTATATCACATTGTGACGCTATATTGAGGCGAGACACGTACTCTATGACGAGTGCGGGGTCGTTTGTGATTGGGGACTGTGGCTTAGTCCGTCCCGAGTGATGTTCATACTGTGTTCTTGACTCGAGATTGATTGGTAATCATCCTACTTGGATTTTATGGATATATTTGGGCTTTGTGCCGATTATTTGAATCCTTAAGGGATTATTATCACTGTTTCCATGATACTTAGCATGTTAAATGATTTCAGTCCTGAGTTAAACATTGTTTCGAAATGTTCAGTCATATTTCTAAGATTTAAAAACTTAAAACTACATTTTTCTGACGTTTGGAGCTGAGAGCTATTACTAATATTGCCCGAGTGGCTTACTTGCATATTCTGTACTGAGCATGGATCGGGCTGCACGCCGCAGCGATGTTATGTCGATATTTCGCTTGGGCTATAGGAGCCCCTCCGGAGTCTGAACCCCCACAGTGAGCGCGGGTACCCAAATGGATCGGGCTGCGCGCCGCAGTGGTCATATGCATTGCATTGCATTCATGCATTGGTATTTATTTGCTTTACCTGTCATTTGATTTGCTGTTATCTCACCGTTAAATGTGCGGGCTTGCCAATTATAGCTTTACATTGTAATATTTCGTGATTTCTTACCTTTAGCCATTATCTATGCTTATTACTCACTGAGTTGGAGTACTCACTTTACTCCCTGCACCATGTGTGCAGATACAGGTGTTCCGGAGGCTTAGTAGAGTTGTTGCTGCTCTCCAGATTATCACAGGAGTTGTCGAGGTAGCTGCCTGGCGTCCGCAGGACCCGACTTCTCCCCTTATCCCTTTGTTTTCCCGCATCCTAGACTTTCATATGTTTAGATTTTGCTACTCAGTTGTATTTAGAGGCTCTAGACTCGTGACCCCGGATCTATTGGGAGTTGTATTGGCATGTGTTATGGTTTTTTCCGCACTATTTCTGTCTATTACTACGGGTTGGAATTATGTTATCTGATAATTTAACTCTATATTGGTAATGGGTTGCGTATTTGGATTTGGGAATGTCTAAATGGTCGGGCTTGCCTAGCATTGTGTTGGGCGCCATNTTCTAATGAAAACAAGCTAAAGTTTTGTATTTCGACAATTATGATTTTTGACAAAAAAAATAGTATTTTACCACAAACAAATACATGTGGTAAGTGTATTTTGAAATTAGATTAGGCACGTTGGACATTTTACATTAAAACAAAAAGATGTAAGGAATTATAGTTTTGTTACATAATTTAATTAAGAAAAAAATAATTATATAAGGTAAACTTTAATGAATTTGAAAGTCCTAAATATTAGAAATTTCTACATAGTTCAAATAAGGAAAGATTTAATTTTTAAAATTTTAGTTGATTTTAATGTCCTACGAAAATAACTTAAATTACAGTTATATACAATGTAAAATCTATTTTTAAAAGGTAAAAAGGCGAACGACATTTCGCTAAGGGGCTTCGTGCTTTTAATATGAATGAATAATAATTTTAAGAAATTACATAAATATTACTAAATTATCATATTTGAGTTCTAAAATAAAAAATAAAGAAAAAAAATGTAAATTCCTGAAAGTAATGAATGTTGTTCTTATTTAACTCAATAAAAGAAGAAATCATGCTTGACGAATGCACAAATGATTGCTTGGATTCAATTGCAATAACTTAAGAAATCTCAAGGATTCATATGTTTAAGTTCTTGTGTCATGTGATGATGTACACCAATATAAATTAAACAAAAGACTGAATTTCTTACCTCTCCATGGCAACATATGCTTGCATTTTAAAGATTCTAACATGCTTATGTTAAATCTGCATGAGAGCCACAAATTACCCCTGCATAGAGTTGAGAATATCATTGGAAGGAATAAGATTTGGTCTACTCCACAAAATAATACGACCAAAATATTGAATATATAAAGGACACACAAGATAAATTTTTGACTTGCACATTGCAAAACTTACACCAGAAAACTACATACAAAGCAATGCAATAGATCAATAAAGTTAAATCAAATAGGAGACTTTATTTAGTCGGCTTCTAATAACGAAACTCATAATAGTCCTAAAGGTCTCTTTGATTTTGAAAAAGATATATATACAATTTTACTCCTCCTTGAAGAGTGCCAACCTCACGTCATATGTTGGAACAAATTGTTATTCGAAAGATTCTTACCTAAGATTTTCTTTGTTTATTTAAGTAAAAATTATCTAATAAAGTCAATGTGGTATATTTATAGCAGACTTCTATGGAGAGGGTTTCTATAATTACAATTTATTCCTTTTTAAATTTCTACATATTAGGAGTTTTTATATATAGTTCAAATAAGAAATATTTAATAACTCTTCAAAAATAATTAAATTACTATTTTGTCCAATGTTAAATATGTATTTAAAGGGTAAAAAAGACGAACGACATTTCGCTAAGGGCCTTCGTGCTTTTAATATAGTACTAGTTACTATGTACGTGCGTTGCACGTAAATATTTAGTCAGAATATTTTTGTGAAAGAACAACTAACTAAATTTAGTAAGAAATTATTTACAAGATTATATGATTATTGTAAAGTAATTAATGTGATAAAAATACAACAACCATTTAAATGCTTAAAATTAATGTTATTACATTAATAAAATACTTGAATTCAAAATTATATCGCCTTAACCTACAAAGATGATCAATTTAGTTAAGTTAAATGATATTCTATTTATAGTGTATAAATATTCAGTGTGGTAGTATCATATCTAATACTTCTTTATAGAGGACGTTTTTGGTGTATGTTTCCTTCTATAACTTTGGCTTCTCCATCTCAAAAGTAAAACATATAATTGTCCATCTTTGAATCACCTCCAAAAAGTATTACTTTTTCACTATTGTACTTTGACTTATTTGTGAAGGTTGGCTCGGTTATTTATAAAATTATGTCAAATTTAATTTATGTCGAATATACCCCGAGTAAAATTATTACTACTTTATCACATTCAAAGCAATAAAATATTAATCATACACGTGTTTTGATAAATCAAGTCCATGATTAGTTAAGATTCTAGAGAAATATATATATAATTTTAACTGTTACAAAAAATAAAAGCAGATAATCTTTTTCCGTATATATGTGTATTATGTGTATTATATAGTACACATATTTTACATACTTCTTAGGAGAAATATGCATACTTTTACCAAGTTATGGCACATGAGCATCTAATGAAAATAAACCAATCAAAGAAAAATTTTGTTAAACTTCGATATATAGGAGACTTGGACGAACTTGTTTTAGGGTTAATCTAGACTAACATCAATCGATTTTCTTTGAGAAATTTATAAAGGAATAAATTATTCATACTGAAGTAAAAATAAATAAATTAAAGAGCACAATCTCACCACTTTATTATCATGTAAAATAAAAATATTCATCTAAACTTTCCCCTATTATTTTAACACTTTTAAATTAGATATTATATTTTAAAAAATTATCATTTAATTATTTTCTTTTTATTTAATATTTTAAAAATTAACTCACTTTGTTTGAAATATGTAATAACTCCTAATATTTAGGTAAAAGATACTAACTTAATTTAGTTGTAGCTTTATATGTACTAAATACAGATTAAGGCTTTAAAGAATAGTAAGAATTTCAACATTATTTAAAATGTTATACATGTCTATAACGTAGTACTAAAATTTTCTTTTAGTAGGTATCTTCTTTTAGTAGGTATTTTTCTTTTATTACGTGCATTGTTATAAAAAAAATTGTAATTAGGAACAATACTTTTCTAATTCAAGTAGGATCAACGTTGTAGGGTCGGGTATATGTATAGTTTAAATCGAAAAAGAATTCTATCATTAGGTAATTTACCATTAGATCCTTAAATTATAGAAATATTTAAGGACATAAAAATCGATCAATGTTTCAGGGATATTTTAGTCGCTCAACATTTAGCATAAATTATTCGTGCTTTTATAATAATATAGATTAGATAGATTAGATATAGATAATACACATACATTCAAAAATAATATATACATTTTGTTGGTTACTAATTTTTGGAGTGACTAAAAATATACATTTCTCAAGAATAATTGGGAGGGAGTGAAAATCAGCCCTCTAGGCTAACCGAGGACATGATTTAAAGAGTAGCCTCCGAGAAGGCCATATTTGTACAAATAATCGCTGGAAATAAGCTCTTGTATAAATGCAAGATAAGACTATATACAATAGTCACAATATAGTCCAATTATTTCCGAGACCCCACAAATAGCTAGAACTTAGTGTATCGAACTGCCATGCATCTAGTGCATGCAATTCTTGACATCAGACATTCGAAGAGTATATCAGGGAAGAAAGTTTCTACTGAATAAAAAGAAAATCATAAAAACTCAAACAGTAAGTCCTATCTGCAAACAAAGTTTGGACACACAATCAATATCTATTGTTGATATACTGCCACAAAGAGACAGTCAATTGTCCATGCCAACGCAGTCAGTTGATCAGGAACGGTCATTAGCACTCGACAGAATTACAGAACTGACTCCAACTTCATTTCTTTTAGGAGAAGAAAGTCGATCCTTAGACCATTCCTCTAAGGCTTTACGATGCAGAGCATTCATTCGTATATATGGCCGCTTTTCTTTGATCAACTTCTCAGCATTTTTCCAATCTTCTGCTAGACCCAGGGCTACTAACAGTGCACACATGACTGCAACACTCCTTCCATGACCTGATGGAAACAATTCAAGAATTTACAATGAAATATTAGTGATAACTTCTCAGTACATGCAACAGAACAGAGTTCCTCTAGAATTTTTATCCTAAAATGATGAATTACTTGAATGACTTAAGGATTTCATAGCTTAAACTAGGGGCCAGCACGTTGGATCAATTGCTTAATACTTGGAATATCTCACAATCAAAATGTGAAAACTTTTACAGCAGCGCAATACCACTCATTCAGAACTCTATACAAACATATCCGACGCCTGCATAATTTTTTTGAATAGAAGTCCCTAATCATCACATTATTTGGCAGCAAAGAGTATTTAAACGACCTGCTTGCAAGAATGGTCATTGCCGACCAAATCCTAGCCTAAGGAACTTTTCTTTCAGAACTGTACCTAGATTTTATAACGTAAACAACTAGTCACATAGGGCAATCAATTTTCAACTTCTTTTTTTAAATGCAGTCAACGACGCCTATAGGCATGCGAAGTTTCAATAAAAAAAGGGCAGCCCAGTGCATGAAGCATCATGTGGTTCATGCATGGACCCGGGAAGAGCCGCACCCCAAGGGGTGGGATGTAGGCAGCCTACCCTTACGCAAACGTCAGGGGCTGATTCCACGGCTCGAACCCGTGAACTATAGGTCACACAGAGACAACTTTACCGTTGCTCCAAGGCTCCCCTTCATGTGAAGTCCCAATACTAGTTGTAAATTTCAAAGAACTTAAGAATTAGTAACAATCTTGTCATTACATTTCTCTTCAACATCTTAACAGTTATCAAGCATCCACCATGAATGTGTCGCTAGTGGCAGTCCTCTTTGCCACTCAACTTTTGAACCTCACTATTGGCAGTCATAAGGAAACACAATGAACCAGCTCAAGATATCCAGAGACAACCTTAAGATAATGACATAAATGCAGACAGAGAACAGAGGATAAGAGGGTGTATCAGTTCGCTCTTACTCTGGGAACAGATGATTCTTCATAAGAAAGACAGCTATTGGCAAGTTTTTGGCAAGGAGATTTACTTGAGCATAAACAAGAAGTTGAGGCAACTTTAGCAATGTAATATTTGTTCAACATATGGTGGGGCATAAGCATAGTAAATACAACTCCAGAGCGAAGGGAAAGAATTAAAATGTTTGAAGAGATGTTTGTTATCTGCAAAATGACAAGCATTCATCATGCAAGCACAAATATGCTAAAGCCAGCAAGAGTGCGGGGCTACTCCAACTAAAAATGTCTACCTATGCTTGTAGATGATTGTATATCCGATGATGTCGTATAGATGCTTTACTTGTAGCTACAAATGTAAACAGAGAAAATCCTAGTGTAATGCAATAGCTAAATGTAATAGTATAGGATTTTCTTTAAGGACCTCGGCAACACCACTTGCTGCTAATAAGTAGCAAACATTTTTCTAGTGCAGCCAAAGCTATCATAGTTTTAGCATTGTATACTAGTTCCTGCCTAATTTCAGCAATCGAGCTGCACCAGCTGAGGTTTACCGCTTCGTTTTGTCCTCTCTTTAAACACCTGCACCAGCCAAAGCTATCATAAATTTCTGTTGTTGATTCCTTTTGCTAGTTTTTATTTTGTATAGTAGCTTCTTCAGATTTTGTGTTTCTTCCTCTTTCCTGAAGAGTACAATAACCCTATTGCTTTAATTCTCTTTTCAACTAAAGAAATGATGGTAGGAGCAAGTCAAACCAACACCCAAGAAGCAGAGGAAATAATTTTGATCTTAAGCAAGTTAACAACGTTATGAAGAGATGAGGACCAAACTCCCAAGCACTATTGTCAAAGGCCCATTTGAGGTGCGCTTAAGTCCCGAAGCTCAAAAAAGTTCGTCTCACTTAGGATGCGCTTCAATGTAGGCAAAGCACTAAGGCGCACGCCTCATTGCCCATAAGTTCTATGTTGATAGAGCGGTAAAAAATTAATAAATATAATTGGCAAAAAATATATTAACTGTTAAGGAAATCATTATGAATAAAATAGTTACTTTTTTCTTACATTATATAT